TCTCCATTCTCCCCATTCCAACCTACCATATGCCCTGTCTGGCCTCAGGTAGCCTCAGAGTTTATGCCCCTGTGTATTTCAGCTTGACCTAGACAAATGGTCAGGCATCAACATTTCTTGGTAGGAGACCACCAAACAGACTTGTCTCCTGCTCCCCCTTAATTCCCTCAGCATTTCAGTGCAGTCAGGGATGTCATGGGATTGCTTTGAGAATGGAACTTTGCTTGTCCTCTGTGCTCTGCCTATGACCACAGAGCAGTGGCCTTCCATGTGGTGGACAGGCATCAACATTTCTCAGCAGCAGACTCCTGTTAGGTGCGCATGTATCCCTAGTTGACCAGGTTTCTCAGGCTTCATTCCCCGGTGGGCAGCTGCTTTGTGCTTTTGACCTGTGTGCCAGGGATGAGTCTCACTGGTATCTGTTGCATTACAGGCAGCTCGAAACTGTTTGGTAAATGATCGAGGCGTTGTTAAAGTCTCTGACTTCGGCCTGTCCAGGTGAGTATGCTTTCTGCGGCTTTCCTTCCAACAGTTAAAATACCACAGTCGGCACATATGAGGAGGCATTAGTGTTTTTACTCCTTTCCTTTTCTTTTTTGTTCTCTCTCTAGTATTTCCCATCATCTTTCTATTCCTTTTCCTTCTATAAATTACTTAAGCTGCTTCTTTCATCTATTTGTTTATTGTTATATTCCTCCTCCTTTCTCTCTCTCTCATATTTTCAAAACCCTTTCTTGCTTTGTAAACCCTGCTGACTATACTCCATTCCGCCTCCTTCTTTAATCAGCCTAACTCCTACTGACAATTGCAGAATTGGAGGAAGGGAAGGAGAAGAAAAGAGAAAGGAAAGGGACAGAGAATAGAGCAGTGGAAGGCAGCACCTGGTAGAACTTTGACGCCATCTTTGCTGTAGCCATATTGCCACCCAGGAATGCTAAGTCGTATAAGAGAGATAGCAAAGTGTACAAATAACATTTGTAAAAGACACTGATGGGCCAGCAGAGACTTTTGAGCAAAGCTGTAGGCGTGTATTTGTGTGACTGTCATGAATGTGCCAAGAAAAAGCAAGCAAATCTCCAGCTCTCCGTATCTTAACAGGAAAACTTGCCCTGAATCTTTTGCAGGTATGTCCTGGATGACGAATACACCAGCTCAGTAGGCTCCAAGTTTCCAGTCCGATGGTCCCCACCAGAAGTCCTTATGTATAGCAAGTTCAGCAGCAAATCTGACATTTGGGCTTTTGGTGAGTGAATAAAATTATACAGATGATACAGCTAAAGTGAAGAGGAACACAGCGGGGAGAGCCACATTTTGCAAGCTGTGCAGAGAGATCAGCCTTTGTTTTAGCTTTCATTCGTCTCCTCCAGAGGGAGTGCTTGCCATGCCAGGCACTGCAGGGTTTTCCAGAGATAAAACAGTAAGCTAGACACGGCCCTTGCTTCTTAGAATTTACAGTATATTCAAGATAACAAATCATTCACTATTTGACAACTTCTGAATACTGATTATGTTCCAGGCGGTCTACCAGGTCCTGTAACTACAAAGGCAAATAAGAGGTGCTGATCATCCAGTGACACCATGATCACCCTCCAGGGCGTCAGTGCTAGAGGCAGAGCTTGGACCAAATATAAAAAAAAGCACCTGGCCCGGGGGAGTAACAGAGTCTAAGATGCTCTAGGAAAACAGGTCCCACCCTCGACAAAAGACTGTACACTGACTTACTGCATTTCCCTCTATCTTCCAGGGGTTTTGATGTGGGAAATTTACTCTCTGGGGAAGATGCCATATGAGAGATTTACTAACAGTGAAACTGCTGAGCACATTGCCCAAGGCCTCCGTCTCTACAGGCCTCACCTAGCTTCAGAGAGGGTTTATTCCATCATGTACAGCTGCTGGCATGAGGTAAGTATTTTACTGGGTCCTTCTAAATGATTTCTTTGAGTCTATAGCCCCATTACTCAGGCCAGGCACCCAGTTCCCATGCCTCCTGGCAGCCATGGCAGTTGGGTACATCTGATAACTGCACACATACCCAGACTCTGACTTGTACCCCATTCCCTTCATGGCCAGAAGTTTTTCTGGGCCCACTCCCATTTTCAGGACAGTATCATTAGCAAACCCCATGGCCAACTCACCTTTAGGGAGAGGACGTACTGGGGGTCTGTGCCATGTGGCAGAAACAGCCAGCCAAAGATACTCAAAGACAAATGTGTAGAGATTACAGAGGACATTAACAGTTGTGTTCACTTCTTGGGAGTCATTAATCCTTTATTCTACTTTACTAGGTGCCAACCTTTTCTAGCTGAGGTCCTAAATGAAATAAAAAAAAGTACATATATCTGGGACCTGAAAAGGAACTAAACTGGGTAGTGCTCATAGTTGTTTGACTATGGTGCATTTTTGGGTACATGGGTAGATGTGTGGTCATTTGAAAATAAGGAGCCTGTCTCACTATTACCAAAATACTTTGCTGCTCTCACCTTGGGTTCTTCCATTGGTGCCTTCTCTACTGTTCAGAAGATGCTCAGCAACCTTAATTTGGCAACCTAAACCCCTAGTAGGAAATAAACGCCCAGTTCTTAGTTCTGCCCCACTAGCCATAGGGAAAGACAGCATTCACCAAGCACATATGTGAACCTAAGTCCTCTTGGTAGGGTGAAAAATAGGTGTCAATCAGGGCTTCCCTCCATTCAACAAATGACTGAGGTCACAAAAAAATATGAGGAGGGGAGAGGCTCCTTCCCTACTCCAGTATCCTTACTCCACTAGAAAGCTACACAGGTAGTTTCTCCACAGCCTGGATAAAGAGGCAGTTACCACACTTGATGCATACGGGGATTGTAGAGGGTGTACTTAAAACTATAGATGCGAGAAGCTAACATTTAACTCTACACAATATTACCTTTTAAATTAAGAATTGTATATTTTTGATGGTATTCAAATTAGGTACCCAATTCCTTACTTAGATTCATTACTTAAACTGATTAAATCAAGGCAGAGGTAGCTTCATCTAATATACAACCAACTTATCTGCATAGAGCATAGAAAGTGTTTTGGGGACATTTTAAAATAAATTCTAAGTAACATTGAAAAAAAAAAAAACCAAACAGAAAAAAACAAACCAAAACCTTCAGATGATTGTGTCTCATCTCCAGAGACTCCAGTTAGGTTTTGTCTGGAGTGGAACCCAAACATGTGTTTTTAAACTTCCGGGGGAAATTCTGATACTCAGCTGGATTTGAGAACCATTGACTCAACAAGAAATCGATGACTTCTTTGTTCCAATGGATTGAAACCTCCTGGCATGAATATGCCTTGAATCATTAAATACCTCAGGGGCTTATGAACCATGTCAAAAGTGAAGGCTGGAGAGTAGAACAGGTCATAGGTTCCCTTGGAACCCTGCTTGGAGATGCAGCCTGTGATTTTATTGCAAATCCCTTTGTTAACATTATAGGACCAAAGAAATAGTGTTACCAGCCAAAGTACAAAATATCACAGTTTACAGAATTTCAAGTCAGCCAACCAAGTGGTTCTCATTTCTTTCAGAACCATCACTGTACAATCATGTAATGAATCTGCCTTCTGTTGTAATCAATATGTCAGCTTAATTTGCAAATTGTTCTCATCACATCAACAATCTGAATTACTGAGGATAAAAAGGACATTATGGAGTGCTTTCTATTTCTTTTCCTTTCTGGTAGTCAACAGGATGTGCTACTGGGCACAGTGCATGTTAAAAACATTTGCCGCTTACTCATTGCATTTCCCTTGGATTCTAGCCCACTACAATACTCTTTTCTTTTTGGTTTTAGAAAGCAGATGAACGTCCCACTTTCAAAATTCTTCTGAGCAGCATTCTAGATGTCATGGATGAAGAATCTTGAACTCAACTTAAGCTTCTTGGTTCTCTCCTCCACAAGTCCCATGTCACTTTTTTCTGAGGAAATCCCACACTTAAGAGTCCTGGAGAAGTTGTGCTCTTGCTGAATACACAAAGACCCCCCCCCCTCACACACACACATATAGGAATCCTCTCTTCTTTGATTCCCTGGGGTAGTGCCTTCCAGCACTGGCCAAGGAATTGTGCCCCATTTTGTTCCCCAAAGAGGAAATTCCCCAAGAGTATTAAGACAGAATGAATTCAGATGGAAACATTGGGGGGCAGGAAGCAATGTAAATGGCCTCACAAGGGTTCTGACAGCTCTTTGGGTAGATAATAGAGCTTAGGGGGGGAGGTTAAATTTGGCAAAAATAAATGGTGTTATAAAAATGGGAGGGTGTTTTGATAAAATAAAATTACTTAGAAATATGAAGGCTTCTTGTTATTTTGATTAAGATATGCAGCCTCCTGGAAGCGTCCTATTTCAGTGTTCCAACACACTGCTTTGTGACATGGCTTAGGCTACTCCAACACCGGAACCTAGGCATCCTTAGCATTTATTTAACTGCTAGCTCTGGACAAATTCTGCATTTTGGTCTCATTGAACTCACAAGCCAAAGCACAGTGCCTGGCACAGTGCCTGCCTGGTAGGCAGGCAGTAGTAGTGGAACGAATCTGAAAATGGGGGGCAGATTCTAATGGGGCTTCCCTCCCCTACGACAGGCTGAGAAAACGCCATCCGTGGAAGGCCCAGTGACCTGCCGGACCAGAGAGCGCCGCTAAGAAAGTGCGGACCAATTTCGAAGAGGGGGAGGCGGGGCTGTCGGGCCGGCTAGGCACCGGCCACGCGGTCTTAAGTAACTTCCTCTCTGACTTTATTCTTTCCCTTTTGGAATCAACAGCCCAGCTACGCCACAGCACCCAGGGCCATGCCTGAGACCTCAGGGCGCAGGCGCCCCACGGC